TTTGTTAATGACTTACAGCAGTTCCAAACCTCTAGGTCTTCATCAATGTTTCCTTGCAGTGACTTCTGTGTTACAGATGTGTTGCGGTCATCTATCCTCTTGATACTTAACTTCAAGACTTAAATTAGACACCAATGCAATGCTTTGATTTTTCTTTTTATAAGAGGAGAGGCAGAAAATGAAGGTCAAACTGGGCTTTCAGAGGCCTACATCAAAGCTCCGAACTACCTCCTTGGCATGTCAGAGTTTTTCAAAGGGTCAAGCCATTAACCATTCTTTCCATAAAGGAGAGTTGGAGCAAGCATGCAGCCAGGATATGTAGTGTGGTGGACCCCAAGGACTGGAGAAACAAACCTCGGCTATAGGAGGAAAAAACAAAGACAGTAACTGGGCCAAATCAGTTAAGAAGGATCAGATCTCCACTCACAGTAAAAACCTCCAGGTCTTCCTGAAGATCTCTAAAATATTTGCCGCAGAATGTGCTATGGCCCATCAACCTTCAGCCACAATCTCAAAATGCACCAAACCAATATTAATTTAAAAAAAGACATACCCATAGTGAAACACGGTAGTGGTTACATAAAGGGGCAACAGGGTGGAACTGAGGTTTTAGTCAAAGTGGATGAAGCTATGAACTGTTCCAACAAACCAGTACCAGTTATATGATTGTACACATTTGTGCAACCAATTTATTCGTTTGCATTTTTTTTTTCTACATTAACAAATTCTCACAATATTTAACAGTGCCAGAGCTGCAATGAGTTTTATAGTAGTTGTGGTACTGTGCAGAAGTGGAGGGCCCCAAAAAAAAAAATCAACCTCACCTAGGACCCCTAGAAGGCTTGTGCTGGCCCTGCTCAGGCCAAAAAAATGAAGGATTTGAATTGGCCAGTTTAAAGTCTGTGCCTCAATCTCATTGGTGTTATGCATCATAAATAAAACAGCCCTTTAAAATTCAAAACCTTCTGTTGTGGCAAAAAAAAAAAACAACAACTCTGTGAAGAAAGGTAATCAAACTTTCCACAAATACTGTAAAACCATCATAATAATTTTGGACATTGAGGACCAATGTCCATGGCTGTGTCCGAACATCCGCCCTATCCCTTAAATCCCTCAATCACTATATAGAGCAGGGACTATATAGTGACTTTATAGTGAACTTGGTTAACTTACCGTTCAGACAGATATTTTCCGCTCCCCATTGGTCATGTGACTCCGCCTACCTGCACAGTGCCTGCCCCATCTGTTATTTTATTTTTTTTTTATTACACATAACTTAATTTCCTGACATCTATGGTTTGATTTATTTGCATGCCTGAATTGCATGGGTTGTTAGACATTTGGCGAAAACGTCATGTCAATCACACCTCTAGAAATATATTACCCGAAAAACAATGGTAGCGTGTTCAATACTTATTTCACCCTACAGCGGTGGGAAATAACTATATTAGTTGTACAACACAGTGATAAGTACTAACATCAAGTAAGAATAAAAATGCTTACCTGATGATAAAAGGAAAATATGTTTCATATGATAACATTTAACTGGAAAATCATAGATCAAAGTACTTTTGCTGTAATGGTGTTTAAAAGCCACTAAGTGTTCCTGCATTTGAGACGAAACAGCACAAAAAGGTTTCAATGTTTTTAATTCATAGGTAGATTTACAAAGACGTAACAACAACAACAACAAAAAACACCTAATACATACAATTAAAACAAAGTGCAGGAATATATAACACTGTTTCCTTAAATAAACTGGTAAGGATACCTACAGTATAAATATCAGGTGCAATCTGCGGTTTGACATGAAAGCCAGCAGCAAGCAACATGATACATCAGCGCGATAAAGGGCGACTTGTGCGATGATACATTTCAGCAGTCGGGTTAGTGTTAGTGAGCTGCAGAGAAGAAGGTAAAGTTTTAGGATCTCCTGAGCACTCTGCTAGGAGCTTTCACATCCTGATGAATGGGAGCCAGACCGAAACGTCCAATCCCAGCGACTGCTGGGGAATTAGATAGTGTTAAGGGTTGGTTCATTTATTGCACATGAATGCGAATAAGTGTATCGCTGGTTGAGACTCTCTGTGATTCTTGCATGTTAGTCACTGTGCTCTTTGTTTGATATGTTTAGGCACAAAAATGCTCTAAAAAGATAAATCCTGTCATCTTATTAGTGTACAAAGCCCCACACTCACTAATTGGCACTTCTGCTTATGACATCAGAAAAAAAAAAGCCTAAAAATAAATCATCTTTTATTGCAGCGACATAATTTCACACTAAAAAACATTAAGAATTGAACTCTTAAATGACTAAATAACTAAAGCATTTTCTTATTCTATGTTTTACGTCTTTTCAATGATCACTGCACAGAAACAAAAAAGAGGGAAAGATAAGCAAATGCAGTCAGGTAGGACAGGTTGTGTGTTGGTCTTGAAAGTCTGTAAATGACAAAGTATTTATATTCTGGGTCAGGGCGATGATTAAAGAGGTAAAAAACAGTAAGCGAGGTCGACAAGGTTGGATGAATACTTGTCATAATGAGCAGGACTGTAATTAGTAGGAATGTATATTGGCATTTTCTCCGCTCCTTTAAGTGATTTTAGAGGCATGCAAGGAAATGCGCCTTCTTTTCCACTTTTAACAATGTAAAGATGTGGAGTTTGTGATATAACTTTATTGAATGATTGAAAATTAAAACAGTGTGGGTTGAACCAGTTTTTAGCAGACACTCTGTCTACTTTTTTAAGGGTAGGCTTAAAACTTTCCTTTTTGATAAAGCTTAGTAGTTAGAGTGGCTCAGGTTATCCTGAGCTATCTCTACAGTTATGCTGCTATAGGCTTTGACTGCTGGAGGACATAGGGACCCCATTTCATCATTCTATCTCTATTCTCCCACTCTGCAGTATTTGTTCAATCTCTAAGGCTATGCTCTCACTGCTTTTTCTCATAATAGCTTCATCTGGTTTGCTACTGTTTGGCTGTGACTCCATCCTGGAGAGAAATATCAGCTGTGCTGCTGCCATCAACACCTTTGTTTATAGATGTTCAAGATTGGCCTGTTTTTTTTTAGTGTAATCCTGTTTCTCTCACTATTACTGTCTGGATGTGCTCTCTTTCATCCTCTGGCATGGGAGCTGGCTCAGAGCTTGTCTGGCTGTGTGTTTTCTGGACGGGGCTGCCTGTGGAGTTGGTTTACAGTTGCCTTTTGTATCTCTGCTTCTTTCTGTATGTCTCCTTCTGTCTCCTTAAACCCCAGTAAGCCTCAGCACACCGAATCTGGTTCTACTTGAGGTTTCTGGGGTTTTTCCTCTCCGCTGTGACAACAAACATGCTTAGTGTGAGGGATTGCGTTTGAGTCAATAAGTCGATGCAAACAACTGGTTTTTCTTAGATAGAAAACTTTGAATCAGTTTGATCTGGTTGAATTGTAAAGTGCCTTGAGATGACAGGTCTTGTGAATTGGCGCTATATAAATAAACTGAAGTGAATTGAATATGCAGGAAAGTACCGGGTGCCCACTGCTAAGCTCCATGGATTATTTGCGTCACTGTGGGCTTGTCAAAAGTCTATGAATCATTTAAATAAAAAAAGAGTTTGCTCTGGTGACCTCTGCCAAAAAATGGACAGAGTTAATGTTAGTTTTTAATAATAACAAATGTTTGGTCAAATAAAGATGGAGAGGGCCAACTGGATACAAAAATCAACCTTCTACCTAAATCAACCATCATCCCGTGGTGCTAAATCCTATCCAAAACCATGTCTGAAAACACAATTTTCAATAACTTCAGTCCCCCCACACCCCTAGGAAGTGTACAAACAAAAAAAATTATTGATTTTTCACATTTTTGTCCATTATGAGATTAGTCTGCTGCAATGTGAGCTTATTTAACATTTCTTTACTGTGGGAAGCAATTAGTGCAGTGATGTACTAAAAACAGTACATCCCCAGGTGTTGTCATGAATGTGGTGTCAAATACAATAAAATATCTAGTCTCGTTGCCTTATTTGCAATTAATATTGATGATTGTGATAGATAAGAAAACATTGTTAACCATCAACAGCCGTGTGGAGGCTGAGAGAGTAGACCGTAGGCTGCAGGGAATGAAGGCACAGAGGTGTGCTGTCGTTCAGACACACTCTGGTGGCTGTTAAAGGACTTGAGTTATTGTTGAAAGAGCAGCTTAAGAGAAATCTGCTGACGTTAAACTCTGGATACAATAATAGCAATAATATAAAGTCATTACACACCTCAAGAGCAGCACAAACTGACAATATTCAACTGATCTGATCAAATCCAATCAATAAATTGGTTGTGGGATCTAGCAACAACTTGAATAGTGACTATATCAATGCTTAACGACGCTGAAAAGTAAAAGTAAACAGTTCTTGATTCTCACACTGGGGAGTGTCAGAAAAATGTAAATCAAAACAGATGCTGTATGAAGAAGGAAATATTGGGAGACACACATGCACACACACAAAAAAAATACACAAACAGGAAATATTGACTGGATAAAATCCAGTCTAACAAAGATGTACAAAGGTGCAAACATAGAAATGTGACTGATGTGAATTCATTCTCAGATCGACAGCAATTAGTTCATCAAATATGATGAATACCATCATTTATCTTAAGTTAAACTCCAGTGATACAATTCATAAATACAATTTAACACTTGGAAAATAAACATTACATTTGTGCAAAACCAACAATAAACAGGGTATAGATTATATTATATTATACTCTCAAATCTATATAGAGAGCAAATTAGACACTTTTTAAAGTGTAAATATTTTCGCTGCATTAGCTGATAAATATACTTTTTTATTATCATAAAATATGCAGTGCTTGGAAAAGTCTTTGCCTACCTTAGAGATTTCTGAGTTTTTGTTCCACCTAAACGTTTTCAAATCGTTTAAAATGTTTTAGTGTCAGACAAGGATAACCAGAGTAAGCAAAAATGTACAGTAGCTGCTGTCTGATTAAGTTATTTTGTTAACTCATATTTCATTGTTTCCATTTCAACAATCACACCAAGGCAGCATCCCTGCCACACCCGTAGAATAAGAACCATGGCGGACTAAAAAGAAAAGGCCATCTCACATTTAATAAAAACTAATAATACTAAAGATATTTCAGTAAATATTCTGTGGACTAATGGACAAAAGTGGAACCTTTGGATGGTGTACATCCACGTGTTAGAATAAAGAACTAAAAACTTAACGGGTGATGGTCTTGGGCTGCTATTGGACAGGTATAACTAGATATGATACAGTTAATGAAACCATGAAATCTTTATTTGCTGTTCCATCACCATAATGGGTCCCCCTTAAACGCTACTCCTGCTAGCTCTTTTAGTCACCTCTTTTCCAGTCATGTTGTAAAAACACATCTACATGCTGGCTAGCTTGAATGCTCTATATTTATGGTTTGGTATCTTTTCTTTTGTTGCTTTGTTTTCCTTCTTTTTTGAAGTCCTTAAGTTAAGGAATCTGAAAACAATCAAAACTAAATATTTCTCCCAACTGGTTAGCGTTTAGTACAGCTTATGGCCGGACCTGGACTCTCAATCCTAAGTTGCTTTTGAGTTCTCCTTTCTTTTTTTCCCAGGAAGGTAGCTTTTTCTCTTCGAACATAGAGCAGGAATATCTGGACGGACTTTCAAATAAGACTTAAATATATTTAATCTAAGTTTAGCAGAGAAATATAACATGATGTCCAACCTACTCACTCACCATGTGCCTACTCACTCCTAAAGCCACGAATTACGACATAAGCCCCATTTTATCAAACCTGACTCTTTAAAAGACTAACTACATTATCATTACATCTAAATAGGATGCCCCGTACCTTCCCAATCTTTTCTCCTAACCTTGTGACTTGGAAAGGAAGATGATAATTTTATCTCAACAAAAGTGATCTCTCCTTCAACTAATCTGATTTTTTGATGGAGATTATATAAAACATTGCAATTTATATTTAACAATCTAGCTACTTTAGTATTTAACAAGTCTTTTTTATGAATAATAAAGTTTAACACATCTGCTTTAAAGCCTTTCTCTGAGGCTGAAACAATTCTTCAAATAAGATTGTCATAAAAGACTCCTCATCAGAAATGGTAATAAAAACAGGTGGTGCCTCCAAGGATGGCACAGCAATACACTTAGGTTTACCTTCTCAAACTTAATTGCTTTTTTCATAAATTAAATCATCCTTTAAAAACTTTATTTACTCTGGTTATCTTTGTCTGATGGTAAAATATATTTAATGATCTCAAATTATGAATGGGTGAATAAAAATGAAACAGCAAAATCAACATATCTCTCGGAACTAGGAAAGGGTGTCGCATTTAGTGTCATGTAACCCATACACTGTAAAATCTAATACAATGCGAAACTATTTCCTTCTTAAGTAGGGGTTCGTTCATTTCCAAAGAAGGGGAAACAAAAATAGGAAACAAAATTTCAACATGATCAACAACAAGTAAAGTGACCTAGAGAACTTTGAGCAGGTTAGAGGTTTCTTCCACCGTTGATGACGTTACCTCCTGGAGGGGCGATGTGAATGGAGTCCAGGATTGGTCGAAGGATTTGGCCGAACGGTCTGGAGACGGGAGAAAGAGATTTGATATGACAGTTAGACAAAAACTGAAAACAAGCGACTGCTAACAAAGTATAAATATTAGAATAATTGTAGGATAGAGTCCTTTTTTAGCCTTATAAAGATCTATTGTTAAGTACTTTAAGTGAGTGACCACCCATTACTCTTTTATACAGACAAGAGTTTAAACTGCTCTTGTTTTAATCTTTGGGATTTAAAACCAACAGTCTGACCAATACCTGCAATAAAATTATAGAATTTTTCGATTTCTACATAAAAGTACTCAAAAAAGGACAGATGGCTCATAAAAAAACCCCCAGAAATTTGGTGATTAAAAAAGCCCCATCATGTCAACGTAATGTGTTTGCAAACCATCCTGAACGTTTACCTTGAACCATGTTGTCTTTTGTCAATTAGCGTTCCTGTTTTTTCTAATTTTACTTGCCAATAAATGAGGATTACACTATTGCACTTCAAGATCCCACAGAGACTGTTACAGCTAAAATGAGAGCAGTTCACACTGTCTGAACAGAGCCGGCAGCCAGGAGCATAAGTGTTTATCTATTTTTAACAGACATGCTCACATCTGGAGAACTTACAGACCTTTGGGGAGCTCTTGTCAAATTTGTGGCACAAAAAAAAGATCTCTGTTTATGTCAATTAGGTCTGCTGTTTAATAGAAATAAAGTCCTCCTACGGAAGAAGAGCAAAAGTGGTAAAACCAAGAAGTGAAATAGTGACTCATGAGTCAGAACAAAGTGTTCTGCATGTTTTAGATGTCAGACAGCGGATCAAACTCAGTGGAACATTATCAGACTCTACCAGGATTAGCTAATTTTAAACAAGAGGACCATGGTTCTGCGCTAGCACCTTGCAGCAGTAAGCTCAGGCTGTATATATCTATTTAAAGGTTAAATTGGCTCCAATCTTAGATTAAATAGTAAAGACTGTTCACATTCCACTGCTTTTCTTAGTAACAAATGTGTTGCAATTACAATTATAAAAAATGATGAAATCTTTTAATATATGAGAGGACTTTAACATACTAGACAAAGGTAAAAACAATTTGGATTTCTTAAAGCAATGTTAGTAGTCAGCTTTTACATTTTGCTGAGGCTGGAAACGGTACAATCTGGTAACCATGAGCAACAGTCATCTTAGCATTTAGCACTAGTTTCTCCTATTTATTAACGGTTTAGTGGAAGGGAAGCTAAGACCTCAATTAGCAGAATATGGGTAAGCGAGGGTAATTTTTTGTTGAGTTGCATCTACTACTCCTTTCATTAAAGGAGGACCTCTGTGCTACTTGTGTTTAACTTGCTTTGTTAAGTAAGATGTGGAAAAAAATATTGGAGAAAGATAAACAGATTTGGGACGTCCTCTCAAAGTTCAGGCTTTAGTTCACATGAAAGTTTTGGGTTTTTTTTCTATTTAATTTTAAATTAAAACATAAAATATATCTCTACATAAAGCTGACCAAATGCTTCTCCATTTGTTTTTTTATGTTTGTGACATCATATTGGACCATTTAAAACACTGATTTGTCTTCACAAAGCCTCAGAAGGGCAAGATTTATGTCCAAAATGTAAAGATGTTTATCAAGTTATGTTTTGTTTTTATTATGTTTTTTTTTGTTGTTGTTGGCATTCATATAAATATACTGGTGTGATAACTTAGTACAAGTTTGATTGGTTTTTGGTATACGTCTATTTTGAATTTATAGCCCCCCCTGGAGAAAACTCCACCAGCTGCCACTGAAGCAGACCAATATGAATCTGTGGTATCACTTGTGTACCAGCAGGGACTGAGCTTCTGACTAAACATAAAATTTAATAAAAAGACATTTCAAAACCATTTTGATTTTGTTCTATGAGAATAACCATCAGCTTTGTACATCCTGATTGAATTTGTTTGTTTGCTCCAGAGGAATCATCATTCATGTCAAACTGAGACAAGTTTGGTAACAGACTGCAGGCCCACTTCGAAAACAGAGCTTAACACTTACGTGGAGAGGACCTCTGATGGAAGGTCTGTGATGTAAGACGGAATGGTCCTGCCAGTCAGGAACTGAGCCACCTCGTTGGTGAAAGTGTTGCAGTTGTGCTCAAACAGACGATACCTGTCACCTCTAAACCAAGAAACAAAACAAAAAAGAAGTAGAATTTGTGTCAGCTGCACTCTGTGTCCTGAAGTTGAAGTCTTTAGTGAGACAAAAATAGCTTCAGTGTGAGGGGAAGAGAGGACAAACGCCCCAAGGACCTGTATGTGGTTTCTCCAAGAGAAGAGAGATAGTCCATGAAGATCTCTTCAGTCACTTCAGTTTCGCCCAGCTCTACAATCGTATCTGGAGGCCCCAGCATAGTCCCTCCCTTAGGAGAGAGAAAAAACTAAATTAAATGGATAAAACTAAAAATCGCAAGGGAACAACACACCCATTGATCCAACTTCAGGGTTAAACTGAAACCTACTTTGTTAGATACGAAAACATCAATAATTTGTTGCTATGGAGGAGTTTATTTATCATCACCGTGAATAGAAATATTCACAAGAGTAGGGAATGGTCATGTTCAACAATCAAAACAAACAATAATAAGTTTTCCATTCTCTCTTCATCTTATATAAAAGCTGGATTTATGGGTGGTATTTAGACAATGCAAGGATCAGAAAGACAAAAAAAAAATAAAAAAAAAAGAAACAGTCAAAAGGTGAATCTCATTCTGACGGCAACACATCAGTACTATCCCCATGGGATAGTACTGAACAACTAATCTAACAGCAGCATAGTTATGAAAAATAAACTAAAGAATTAAAACTATACCAGATAAAATAATGAATATTAAATAAAACAAGCGACCCAGAAAAGTTCAGTAGAGAGTATTGCACTTATACAAAATAAAAAAGTAAATATTGTTCTTGCCTTACATGTTTACAGGAACAGAGTTTCCAGCCTGGCCCTATTTTGATTAAAAATCTATAAAATACCCTTTAATGATTTTAGCTGTTTTATCCACAACATAATTTAGGCTGAAAAAAAATAAATTTTAAGTTAACTTATTAGGCGAAGGAGAATATATATTAAGAAATTATTCAGAAGAAAAATGTCCTGTGTCCCATTTACCTTCACCCCTTAAAATCCCTTTAAATGTAATTAATTATTTATTCCTGATTTATTCTTTGGATTTGACATTTTGAATTTATAAAAGTTTCAAAGAGTTTTTATTTATTTTATCTGTTGATTTATTTAATCTTTGGTGTATGAAAAATTAGTTTTAGTCAATGACAAAGAGGCCGTGTCGTTTTTAGTGAGGCAGATATGTGTTAATCCTCCTTAGGAAAAAAAATCAATCAATTCTCTGAAGTTGTTTATAACTACAGATAGAGCAAAGGTTAGGTTAGATGACGACTCTAATTCTTCTCAACACCACACACAGAATGGAAAAAGAGGTTAATAAGTTACTGATGCTCCAAGTTAACAGTAAAACTATCTTACCGGTGAACAGCTGGAGATGCCCTCCCCTCCGAAGAAGAATTCATCACCATATGCAACTATAGCTGTGTGCCTGCAAGAAAACAACCAAACTAAATCCAAGGCAAATCCAGCAGAAACAGGTCTTATGGTTTTAAGTATAAATAAATAAATACATAAAAAGTAATCTAAACCAGAAGAAGCGAAGTAGGTTTTTTCACACAACTAAATGGTTTGGCATCTTACTTTAATTTTATTTTATTTTTTATTTTTTGGGGGGGGGGCTTCAATAAAATTTGGAAATCTGAGCTGAACCATTATAATCAACACCCTAAATAGCAAAAGTAAAGTGTTGTACATATTATAATCATTAACAGAGCAGTATTGGATGTTGCAGGCTAACAAAGAACGACTCCCCATTCTAAGGGGTGGATCCGTTCTTCTGGTTCAATTTGCCTGTTTTCTAAGCAAAACAAGGCCACTCTATAAAGCCTAGAATTCAATGCTATTTCTGACATTTTAAATTGAAAAAGCTTCCTTGATGGGAAGCAAAACGTCTTCAGAATTGGAAACTAAGTCCACTCATTTTTTTTATACTTTTTTGGAAAAATCATTAATACGTTTTCTCATATTACAGAATAATATGATCATTTAACCCTCTCCAGGCAGATGTTGCAGATTTGCAACATCTAAATGCCACTTAGCTAATTACTCCACATCCATATTTTAAGAGCTTTTGTTACTCAGAAGTACAGCAGAAGGACTTAGTTGTGCATTTGCAACAAACAGTTTCTCCCCAGCTCACCAGATGGCACTGCTGACTCACTTTCAACATGGCTGAGTCCTTGGTGTCACTAAAACAGATTTTCTAAGCACCAATTTCATGGAAATATCACTACCAATTTCCATTATTTTGAAATCAATACTACATAAGATGAATCATGAATGTGTATAGATATGACACATGCCAATTAGTAGATTTTATATCCTCTAGGTTTTTCGCAACGTGTGCCCAGACAGGTACCAATGGATGCTACATGCTTTATCTTCTAGTTTGCCTATATTTTGAGCAACAGTTTAACAGAAACGGTCTTCTCAAGAGGTTTTGAGATGTCGGTGGAGAAAAGGTTTGAGAAACAGTTGTCTCTAATTTTGTGAGAGAATTTATTTATTTATTTTTTTCGAATTTTGTTTTGTTAATTTTTTGTTTGTGACATTCAAATAAAGTTAACATTCATATCAGATTCAGTCTTCAGTGTTAGTTTACCACTCCTGGCCACTGTTGCAAATCTGCAACATCCCAGAATTCATTGCATGTGAAGGTCTCTCTCTAGTAGTATATTACTACCTCATGATCCTTTTCTACAAATATCAGATTTTTCCTGCAACTACAACTTAATTTGAGCCTGAGAGGGTTAAGTTCCACATAAAAATATACAGAAACATTGCATCTGTGTGAAAATATCTGAGAAGGATCAACCAACAATGATTTGTTATAGCAAATGACCCTTTTTTAAGTAAGATGATTTTGCATAAGCCTCCAGAATCAGTAGATGATATTCCAAGCTATGAAACAATAGTTCCAGAGTTCAGGAAGGCAGACTTACCATATACCATCCAGCTGTTTACCTGCAACAACGACAAGGAGATGGTTGGTGATGACAGGAGGCAGCAGGCCCAGTTTGACAGTTTCTGAACCCGTTTAAACCAATGACAATTATCTGTTCCGATGACATAATGATGACATAGAGCAAAACAACATTCAATATTTTTTAATTGTTTCATATTTACACGGGAAAGATGTCAAAACCTCAAGTTATAGTTAAATTAACGGCGTTATTCCTCCCAACCGTTTGCTCCTATTACTTGTCTCCATTCGGCGATTTTGGTCTTGCTTATTATTTCAAACCGACTTACCTAACATAATTGGACTAAGGTTGCGAGCCATTCCCCTGGAAAGGTCATAAATATACAACTGAACGTTGTATCGAGGTATATTTTTCTCCATTACTCTAAATATTTCTCTATTTTTCTCTTTACTGTAGGCTAGCGGTACCGCAGACCTTTAAAACACACAGATGAGGGGGCGGAGCTAACAGAGCACGTTACCTAACCGGACTTCCGTTCTGTTACCTTCATAAGAAAACTTCACTCCTCAGCCAGATTTCACAATAAACGAACAGTAATTATACAGTAAGATAAGAGATGTCAAAAGTATTCATGTTTATTACTCAATTACAGACGGATGAGGATTAGGGCCAATTAGGGCAAATTCTGAGAAAAAATTCAGAACTCTGAAATTAAAGTCAGAATTCTGAGAAAAAA